TTTTACACTTGTTTTAAAGTATCATTCGTGGAAAATAATTTAATTTGATTTATATAACGCAATTTTTTTTACACTAAAGTTTCTCTTTATTTTTGTTACAGGTAAGAACACGTTTAACTCATGTAACGCTGCGAAACTACTGTAAGCGCCTTACGTAAATGCAACGTAAGTATATATTAATTTTCTCGATTATACATTTTCGTCGGTAACAATACGTATTTACCGAAGAAACAAACTGTGAACTCGCTAACAGACTATAACGATCTGATGTCAGGACAAATCAAGTTTTTAATTCTCACGTTAAGGTTCCGGTTTAATAATCAAAGTGAGTCGCGATATCGACCAGCGCGAATGTAACAGATTAAAACTCTAGTAATCGCGCGATCTCTCAGGCAAACGTCGAACGAGTCCAACCCGTTTTTGCTGACGTAAAAATGGCTTGGTGGTTTTCGATCGTGCGTGGCATCTAAACGCGTACAAATTTATATTCTCCGAAATACAAAACACACCACGGAAAAGCCACAAACCGGTCTCCAAAGAAAATCTATGTTCTGTCGATTGAATCGCATTTACAATTCAGTAAAGTAACTCTAGTTTTCTAAGTTTGCACGTTCGCACACGAGAACCACGATTTTGTCGCGAATGCCATGATTGGTAGTCGCGAGTTGCAAACCTTCGACACATACGTCGATGCTGTTGCGGGAGATAAAGCGGCAACGACCGACTTCAAGGTAGCTCAGGCAGTCTCGGCCGCTTATGTAAGCTGTTTGGAAGTCCGTTTATGCCTCCTAAGAAAGACCGAGACTGAGCAACAAAGAGAGAGAGAGAGAAAGAAAAAGAGAAAGAGAGAGAGAAGAGCAAGATAAAATTAAAAATACTTTTCCTTATCTTTTCGTTGGCACGCGATTACGGTTTATCTAAATAATTATTATCAGAATTTAATTATATAATAGAGTTCGGGTTGTTGTCTGGTAATGTGATTTTTGGATAATTGTGGATGTTTATCTTAAAGTTTTCTCAAAATTTCACGTTGAGTCGAGATAAAATATAAATCTCTTGCGATAACGTAAATCTCATATGTGATCGTTGATCTTCGTTGATCAAAAATCGAAGTTCGAGTATCCGCTAATAGACCAAACATTACTTGCGGTCAAGTAAGTAATGATTTAAGCGAGAGTTTCTAGGTCGCTCTTAGGTCGTGTACACCGATATTCTACGCTCGTGTACGTACGTGGCAACTATAATTGAAACGTTATCGTGCTTCTCACATCGGCTGGATACTTTATATGCTGCAGCTCATTTCTCGTCTTGCAGCTTCTCGATTCGCAGCTATGTAGCCGTTGCAACTCTCTCTCTCTCTCCTTCTCTTACTTTCATGACTGAATACGACCTGTAACCTGCACAGATCCGCTTTCAGAAACTTGCTGATCGACTCACGGTTGACTCTGACACGCGCGCGTTGAGTCTTACGTTGCAATTTTTCTTCCCGGGTCTTTTCAAAGAGAAATTCGGAATAGAGCGTAATTATGTCTGTGCAATTAACACACTTTGGACAATTAAATTATATATACGATATATAAAAATATATAAAATTATTTTATATAAAACTATTTTTGAAAACTATGATTTTTGTGCTCGCTTTTTAATTAACTTATAAAGAGTTTCTCTCTGCACAACAAAGATTATATATATATTTATATAAGTACATTATATAAGTACATTTATACATAATATATTTTTCTATGATGTTGACAGTAGGTAGTTCTTTTCGAAAAATCGTTCCCGCGCGATATTGATATAGTCATTCATTCTATTCCCGAAACCTTGATTAAACCTCGTGCGTCATTATCTGCGCGATCTATTCGCCGTTAACTTTCGATCGAGAAGGCGACGTCGAGCCGGTGAGGAGGACATTTAAATGCAAATGCACTTTTTACTTATATTTATATGCAAATGAGCTTTTCCCACGGCGAGAGAGGAACCGGTGCTACGCCAACCCCTCCGATAAATGCGACGTGCTCGTGAGTCGTCCTCTCGTCCTTTGCACACACACACACACACACACACACACACACACACACACACACATATATAACACGACGACGTTCGTAAGTTAGGCGAAAAGCAGTCGGCACGCGATGCCGGAAGACAATTATTACATCACGCGCGCGTTAACGTCACGCGGTTGAACGAAATCGCACTTTCGGAAACTTTAATATCAACGATTGCGACTCTTCTTTGCGAAGATCAGTTTTGATTGTCAGGCGAATCGCGACGTTTAATCCTTGATTGTATTGCGATATGTAAGAAAGGGGGAAAAAAAAATGAGAGAAAGAGCTTATGACACACTACGCGATAATTTATGTGGAAACGCATTCTCTCTCTTTCGTAGATTCGTCTCGTTGCGTTTGAAAATTAGTTTAAAAAGAAGCGTGTGCGTAGATCCCCGACGTCGTTCTCTTCTTATAAAAGATAAATTCAAGAGGAGACGACGGATATAGTAACGGAGTGAATTCTTCACATGTTGGGGAGAACAATATGCTCTCTCGAGTTACGGGAAAGTTTTCTCCAGACACATATTGCCCTTATCGTTTTACGTTAGGAGAATTCCATTTGGGGACGTCGTGCTCTTTTTTTTTGCTCGTGATACTACTTTGTGCGAGCCGACCGATCAAGATTCATGCATATATACATGGTCGGCTCTTATGTCTAACCGTTATCGGTTGCACCGAAAAATTCTCTCTTGCGGTTTCTCGTTCGCAAGAATAGATTACGATCATTTGTCATCAATCGAGGCGTCGTAGACTCCCGTGCTTTGCGCACGAAAATCACGTTACAAACAAAAGATGGCCAAAATAATTGCCACGATATATATATATATATATAAATAAACTTTATCGAAATTTGTAACAGAAGATCTGAGAGAAGAAATGAATAGATTAAACGTATTTAATTTCGCGATATAAGAGTGAATTCAAATTGAGTCTGCAAATACACATGCGCTCGTTATATCTCATCTCTGTTCTCTCTGCTGACGGTACATATAATTTTCCACATCGAGCTGCATATCAATAAGACATATCAGTATCAGAGCGTGTTCAGTTACAGGGTAATTCGTGATATTGAATGTTGCTAATAGAATCTTTGCTAAATGAATATGCAGCCGCGGCTTTAATTACGATACGCATCGAAATTGCGCATTTCGATACGTTACGACGTGATATATACACACAACGCATACACACATCGTGATTTCGTACATTAATCGATGTGCTTGGCGTTTCGCCTGAATAACAGACGAGAGTATAATAGAAATAATTGATCCGTAATTATCGAATACGCGCGCGCTCGCAGAAGGGAGACACAAACCGTATCTCGCTTTGCCTTTCCTCTCGATATCGTCTGTTCTATCATCTGAGAGGTGATGGAACGCTCTTCGCTCGCGAGGAACCGATCTCGAAAGTTGTCAGGCGCACATCGCGCCGCCTTAATGGAATTTGAATGTCGTTAGCCGAAGTAACCAGGCGTAAGGAAGGGACGGTTATCCCTATTACCGCGCGAATAGAGAGAGAGAGAGAGAGTCGCTTCTCGTAGAGATTTCGTCGTCCTGCGGTGTGTGCGAGTCGTCGGGTTTATTGGAGCACGAAAATGCGCCAGCTTCGACAACCGTGTCGTTAGTACCCACTTGGGGTACTACGACGGGATATCGCGCGTCTGCTACCGAGCGCGCAAGAACAGCGCCGTAATTAGCGCGTTCGTTATGCCGTTTTGCCGCTGTTAGCGCTCGTCCCGTGAGACGCGAGAACGTTTACGTATTTAGCTGTCGCGTCCAACGCGCGCCGTACGTTTACGACACCGCAGACTGGAAGTTTCAAGTTTCTCCGCGTATTTCTTTGAGAACAAATGTACTAATTGCTGTTTATTATTATTATTATTATTATTAGTATTTAATAGTACTCTGCGTTGTGACTACACAAATATCTATCTCTGTGAGAAATAAATTTTGCATTTCTTAAATCTCGTAGATTGGGAAGTTCGATAAGAGGGTTTTGTAATTAAAACGTATAAAGTTACTCTTTCCGGCTCTCGTGGTTAAGTTACTTTTGGAAATGTGTTATAAAATGTATTATATCTATCTCAGATGCGAAAAATCAACCGTGTGAACGAACGTTGCTTCATTCGACGCGCATAATTATGACGCTGATTTGGAATATTCGCGAAATATTTCGAAATACGTATTAATATTGCAACAATTTTACAGCAAAATGTGGATTATATATAAACGCTTTAAATAGCGTTCGAACAGACTTGTTGCTATCCGCGCGAGAAAGAAATACAAATGAAGAGAATTGAAGACTTCCTGGCTTACGCGAGCGATTACGACTGCTTTCAAACGATTTTCCATTTCTCATGCTTTACATTGTGCAACGCGCTTAACTGTAACGTCGGAATATAATACCAGCACCATGTGTGTGCATGACTCGATCACCGGCGAGTAAGCACAGCGAGCGAGAGCAATGACGGAAAAGACACGGCGAGTGTTGCGATAAAGAAAAAGATCGCGCAATCTTTTCTGGGTTAAATGTCAACAACTGCTTATTGTCCGGTTTTTTTCTTTTTTTTTTTTTTAAGTAATGCAAGAAGATAAATTTTCAATACAAGTTTAACACTGTGCTGTTACACGATTACGTTATTTCGAAATAGAGCAAAAATGGAGCATATTGTGCGGGGCAGAGATGTAAATGCAAATTTCCACATAAAGTTGCACCAACAATGCCTCGATACTTTAACAACAATTAAAAGATGCGTCGTCGTCGTCGGAGCTGGCGCATTTTCAATAAACTTTTTTTTACGCGTGTTAAAGGCACTTACGCTCCTGTGTCCGTATGCATACGTATTACAACGAACGTAGCCGGGAGACGAAAGAAAAAAAAACGAATGTCGCGATCAAAGCAAGGAGAAAATGCATTCGTTTTTTTTTTTCGACGTATCGTCATCGTTCAAGATTGCCGTCGATCGAGAATAAAGAATGTCAGAGCGTGAAGAAACTCAGACGATCGTTCCGTTTCGAAGAAGGATCCGGCAATACGCCGGCTCTGCCGCAGGTGTCTTTCTCCTTTGCGTAAGATAATAGAATTTCACGCGAATCGGAGTAAATCTTCTTCCAAACAAAATGGGAAGAAAAAAAGATAGTTTTTTTTTTCGAAAGTTGTGTGGTTTCGAGACGACATGTTACTCGGACGCGTGAATATTACGACACACAGTTGCAATGTGCGCGATGTGTTGGAGGTCAAAGGGTTAATAACTGCGACCACTGCGAATCGCGCCGTCGCGACGATAATGACGACGACGGCGAGCAGCGACACAAGCAGCTGAAAGAAAAACGCGGCGGTGCACATTTGTGAATACCGTCGGAAATATTAAACGGCCGTCATAAATGAATATCCGGTGGGGAAAAAAATGTCTGCGACAAAGGGGGAGAGGAGGGTGAAAGCGTTAAATAAACTCGCCGGTTCGGTGAATAATTGTCGTTACGACGCGTCAATTCGTCGTAAACGCGGGTCCTGTCTCTGGTGGTCGTGTTCACGGTCAACGAACCTCTTTCTTTCGCGCAGCCTGCATGGGTGGATTCTCGTTGGGATGCGGTCTAGGTTGGAGCGCGCCGTGCATCGAAATCCTGAGGAGCGACGAGTACGACATCGACGTCTTCATGACGGACGTGATCGCGGCGATTTTTCCGATGGGCGCGGCCATCGGCACGCTCGTCGTGCCCGTGCTGATCGACAGAATCGGCCGGAAATGGACGATGATGACACTGACGCCGTTTTTCGTCGGCGGCTGGATTCTATTAATCTGCGCGGGCTCGCGAGTTTCGCTCTTCGTCTTCGGCAGGTTCGTAACCGGCGCCTGCGGCGGCATGTTCTGCGTCCTGGCGCCCATGTATTCCGCGGAGATCTCCGAGAAACAGATCAGAGGTACAAAATTGTTCAAATACGGATATCTCTCGCGGCGTAGCGCAATTCCAAGCCTGTGTGTTTATTAGAACTTCGTCAATTTTTGCGACGTGATTCTGTGCGCGCGTGAAAATTCGGTGACACTTTGGAAACGAAGTTGAACGAAGAAGAGAATTTCGCGCGATTGCACGAAAATGTGACGCAACACCATACCGACGGCACGTGACGCAACGTACCGCGAATATAATAACAGCGCAAAATAAAATAACTAAGGAGCGAAAATTATTATCGGGCCATTACCTTGAAGTCGTGTTTTCTCTTTGCGTCGTAAATAATTCGCGATTTATCGTCATCTCGCGCGCCACGAGAAGCGAGAGAAGAAGCAGCTTCATTATGCGATTCTTCCTTTCTCGTAACAGGGACGACCGGTGTTTTCTTCCAGTTGTTGTTGCTGGTCGGTATACTGTACGTGTACTGCGCCGGTTTCACACGGGACGTGATTGCGATATCCGGCCTCTGCGCGGTCGCACCGGTCGTATTCGGCGTGATGATGATCTTCGTGCCCGAAAGCCCGTTGTTCTACTTCGCGAAAGATAAGGAAGAAGCCGCGCGAAAGTCCATGCGATTCTTTCGCGGCCTGGATTTCGACGTCGAGCCCGAGATCGAGGCGTTCAAGGTTGGTGTCGAGCGATTTCGAATTTTTGCGAACAAAATTTGTTTTATTTCGAAATAAATTTAAGACGTAGATTAATATGAAATTATGTTTGCGTAATCGGGAAAACACGCAGGAACAAGTGAGAAGAAGCAGACTTCAGAGATTGAACATATCGGCCTTCGTGAACAAGCCTATGTTGAAGACACTGGCTGTTGCCTACGTTCTGATGTTCGCCCAGCAATTCAGCGGCATCAACGCGATAATATTTTACGGCGTGACGATTCTCGAGGCAACGGGAGTCGGCATGGAGTCGCTGATCGAACTGGTCATCTTTGCGGTTGTCCAGTTGGTAGCTTGCGTGGCGTCCGCGCTTCTGATCGACAAGGTTGTTACACTTTTGAGATTAGTTACCGTGTGATATATCGGATCCGTGTCGCCCACAGAGTTTTCGCGATCTATTAATTTATTATCTATTGACCGCGGCTGGCATTGCAATCGCAGCTGGGACGCAAACTGCTTATGGCGGTGTCCGAGGCGATGATGTGCGTGTGCTTGTTGGCCTTGGCGGTCTTTTTCGTTGTAAAGAGCTATCAGCCGGAGAAGGCGGAGCAAATGTATTGGTTGCCACTTACGTCGGTGTGCTTTTACATACTCTTCTTCAACCTCGGAGCTGGTATGTAACTAATAATGATGAGCGACAAGTAAGCTCGGACCGCGATGACTTCTTTCTCTTTCTCTCTCTCTTCTTTTTCTCTTTCTCTTCTTCTGATTAATTAAAGTATCGAAAATATCTTCTTTCTTACAAATTGAAACGTATCACTTCGTTTTTTTTTTTTAATTACATTTATTTCTTATGGTTTTTTTTACATGTGTTAGATAAACACAATAGTCCATCAAGAAATGAAGTATCTCTTCGTCTTTTTGTTTCTCTCGCGGAACGCGAAATGCTTGATGACGGTTATCAGGTAAATCTTCACCGAGTCGATTCGTTATAGGTCCGATCCCCTGGGCTTACATGGGCGAGATTTTTCCAATACGCTTGAAAGGCGCGGCATCGTCGAGCGCGGCTTGCTTCAATTGGTTACTCGCGTTTACAGTTACGATATCCTTCCCGAGCGCCGTCGCCACGTTCGGCATCGCCACGGTGTTTCTCTTCTTCGCTCTGATATGTTTTCTCAACGTGTTCTTCGTCATATTTTTCATGATCGAGACCAAAGGCAAGACTTTCAAAGAAATTTACGAAGAGTTTGGGACGCATGTGTTCGATCATGAATCTTCCCGCGTGGAATAAATCATAAGACAAGAATTCTATGGAGCACAACGTGATGAATCTCCATTGAAGAAGAAGTCTGAATAAAGAAGATGAATATATCGTACAATTGATCGCACAATTTTGATGTCAACCGCTGACAATTTCAACGATGTCAATTACGATGACGCACAACGTCATCGTGAAGAATCTCAAAGGTGTATTCAAGCGCCATGAAAATGAAACGTGCCTCGTTTTCTTTACGTTGACGCTTTGTAATAATATTTTGATTACGCGCGCGACATTTGTGCGTACAAGATACTACAGTCGAGACGAAATGAATAGGGAAAAAAGTGAAACTAATCTTTAAAATTGTTAATATACTTACGTGTTTTAATTATAAAAATATTTTTATTAATTATAAAAACAGTAGAATTTTTTCACTACGATTCATTAAAGATCGTCACTTCAGTCAGTGTTAAAAAAAAAAAACATTACATTAACACAAAAGCTCGTGCGATATTTTTTGTTTACAATTTAAATAACTTCATCGTGGGCGTAGTGGCGACTAAAATAATTTGCAGATAAGTGAATTCCTGACGGGAAATGAGAGACGCGATAAATGCGGCATACGAGACCGTTAGTAGTGTGTATGCGCGCCAGAGGATGCGGCTAAACTTGAACCGCGATATTATATGCAAGCGCTACGTACTCGCGATATGTATCGCGAGCAGTCATTGCACGCGCATAACCTTGGCCAAATCGCTCGGAATTAACAACAACGGTTTCTATTCTATTCGCTATTTTTTATTTACTCCGAAACACACAGAAAATCTCTCTAACGATTTCTCGAATAGTTTTTTTTGTCTCTGACGCGTCGTACACAATCCATTATTGTTTTTCTCGCGCTAAAAACAAACGTGTCGGAACATCACACGGGGCCAACATGTGTTTTATAATCGTATTTCGAATACTGGAAAACTCGCACACAGGAGTTGAATCGCAAGTTACGGTCTTTTGCCTTAATGACTCTTTCTGATTCGAAGTGCGTTTGTCGCGAGCGTTCACCCCCCTCTCGGTGGTTGTCAACGATGATGATGATGATGATGATGATGACGATGACGGTGATGATGATGATGATGATGATGATGACGACTCTCTGGCGCGCCTGTTTCTCATTCAGCTACCATGACGCGGTAGACGCTCGCTTTCATCGATTATGCATTCGAATTTATATTTATGAAGCGTCGTGCCAGCGTCGCGCGCTGAGTGTCGCTGTTCTAATAACGAATGCTGCTGTAAACCTCTCGAGAATCGGGCGCAGCGCCTCGGCGTTACATTCCTGTCGCCTACTCGACTGTTTCTTTTTATTATGCGATTGCACGTTCCGCGGATTTTTCGCCGTGGGCGACGACAATAAATAATACGCTCTTTGATGGAAATATCTAGATGCTACAAACGCGTTCGTTTCTCTCTTTTTGTAATTTCTTCTGCGCGCTTGAATTTCCTTTGAGTCTGTATTTTACTTCGATTGACAAGTTTGAAAATTTGAGAGTAAATTTTTTTTTTAACCAAGAGACACACACACGCGTGTGGCGAAAATTTCATCGAAGCGAAGTGTTTCGCAAGTAAGGTAATTTTTCATTACAAGAGCAAGATAATTTTTTATTATAAAAAATGATCATCTCTCACGACGCTTTGTGACACTCTTGATCCCTCTCCGCCGGCAATGTGGGGGATTATTCGAAAACCCAACATGTGGGACATCTTGCGCGGATTCGCTCTCGTTTCGCCGTCGAATAAATTTCAGCAATAAAACCAAAAAAACTGAGCGTGAGAAGGGCAGAACGTTGAGAACGAGACACCAGACAAGTTTTTCGCGCGAGTACAGGGCGGTTCTTTTCTTTATTCGTGGGAAGAAGCCAGACTTTCGGCGTGTCTGCCGGCGAAACATCGGAGAGAGAAACAACTCCTTGAAGAAAAAAATCGCGAACGTTAGCGCGATCGATAGGCGTGACGTCTTCGATTCGATGCGCTTCCTTCGACCGATCTTTCCGGCTGCGTCGTGTCGATCTTATTTTGGAATCATCTGCTCTGTTTTATGACGCGTGTGAAACAACACAATGGCGACGAAAATTCAATGATCGTCGTTATCGCGAGACAAATTTTAAGCGCGAACGCGAACGGCGTAATTTAATTTTATATCGACGAAAGTCAACACGCTTGTTGAAAATATGTTCGAGAGCGCGCGCCTTCCTTTACTTTCGACAATACGTTATCTTCGTTATCTGACGTTATTTACACACGATATATTGCGCGTTTTCGTCCCTTCGGAACACCTATCTCGGAATATTTGCATCGCGAGATTAACACTGTCTTAAAATCGCGAACAAAATTGAACGGAAATGAACGCGAATGAAGCTGTTTACGGGTGAATAGAAAAAATTTCATTTAATTGGCTGTGTGTGGAAAGTGGATAAATTTCGTGGCGAGAGGCGCCTCGCTCGCAGCGGGGAACACTCGCCGGGGTTATCCGGGGTATCCCGTTAAGGAGCAAGAAAAATCGCGTCCTCCGCGAGCTGTCTGTCGACGCGCCGGTTTTCTTTTCCGTTCCCGGGACGTAAAGGAGAGGAAGAAAGCCGCTCGCCGAGCGGCTCTAACAAGCAATAAGCGATATCGGGACGCGGCTCCCATCTGGCCCCGGCACTCGAACCCCCCGCGGCACTTCCCCCGGTGAGGTTGTCGCAGACAGGAAATAAATAAATAGAAAGCCATGCCGACGCGAAGAGGAGAGGAGAGAGAGAGAGAGAGTAGTAGCCGACCCGTAGGAAATTGGCAGCAGAGCCGGAACATCGCGTCGCGCTATGTGTTTCTCACATACATTTTTGTTCTCGGGAAACACAGCCGCAGCCATATCTCGTGTCCCGGGGCGAGATTTCCGAGATCTCGTCTCTTTCTTTTTCTTCAAATCCGCGACCAATATTCAAGCACATCTTTCCTTTGCCCGTGTCTTTTATACATTTCATAAATGGAGTTTTTCCATCGAAAAGCCGGATTGCTTCGGAGTGTGACGAAAATGGATTCTTGCTCAATGCAATGATGTTTATCAAAATGTGTATTCGGGGAAATGGATGGACCACCGCGCGCATGCGACGATGCAATCTCTGCTTTGATGTTTCGCCGACTGTGTATATACACGCGCGTGTATTATCTGTTAATATAGGCTTTAATCCGCGTTCTATCTGTGTTGTACGTATTGCGCTGTTAATCTTCTCTTTTCATCGCTTATGCATATACTATATATATATACGTTTACAAACCGATTTTAGATGGTTAATTTGCAGCTGCATCACAGGAGATTGAAACAAATTGAAAGATTTTCGATGTCAAGAGAAGATAAAATACAAAAAAAAAAAAACTATTTTAATTGACGATTTAAAAAAAATTGAACTGTTTAAAAACTGAGAAACACTGACAAATATTCAATGCTCTCACGTTTCCGTATACTTATTGTATATTACCGTTATGTTTAAAATTAAATAAAATCAATAGAACCTTCTCGGCAAGAGTTTGAGGAAAGAGTTGAAAGATTTGCGCGCGGAACTTCAATAAATTTCGACTCGCTAATACAAAGTCATTGACATAAAGCGAAGACGAAATCTAATTACCGAAGCAATTGTTTTTCCTTCATTTCGTCAGTATTTTCTTCTCATTCGCGCATATTTATTCTTGTCGATTTTCTAAACGCATTGCGCGCGACGCTCAAACGTCATGACAACTTAAACTCGAGTTTTGTAAATATAGTCTTTAAGCATGACTTGATACGCATATTCTCTCTCTCTCTCTCTCTTTTCTCTCGTCGCGTCACAACCCACACGCAATCCGCACTTCAAGGCTCTCGTGCCCCACACGCGGATGACTTGGCGAACGATACACGCTCGCGCGAAACTCGCGTGAGCCGCGCTGTTCGTACATACACATGTACTCGCGCGTTCGTACGTGAAACCTCTCTTTTCCCTCCACGTCGGTGAGGATTGCACACTGCACCATTGCACCGAGAGGGGCCAACGGCCTCTCTCTCCTCGTGGTATCGCCGCGCCGACTCGCTTGCTCGCTCGCTCGCTCATAGCGACAGCTCGCGCGACCCAGCCAGAGCCGAAAAGAGCCGCGAGTCTCTCTTTTTGTCGATCCCGCTGTTAACCCGGAGTTCACGGGTTCTATGTAGACGCCGCGGTTTAATTAAAATTAATCGTCTCGTTATATATAGCAATTACATGTATGCAAGCGGGGTTTAAATGACGTAAACTTGATATTCATTGTAAGAAGATTTTGTATCATACAAATGTCGAGTGCGGGATTCGTCGCGTGTATAAGTATTAAGTACGAATTATACATGAAATTATGTGACAAACAAAAAAGAGAACGAGAGAATACTAATTAATATATTTTCATCAATTCGTAATATTGTAGATAATTATATAGTTGGAAGAAGTTTTTTTGTGTATATTATTAAATAAAACACATCACCAGTAACAAAATATCGATAATTGCTGTTTTATATATATATATATATTTTTTTTTTTTTTATGATTGCTAACACAGTTCTATCAGAAATCATCATTTTTCAATTTATAACTGGGGATAAACAGAATATCTATCAAACTGCACATCCCCTGCAACGCTCGCGAACGTTGATGAGCGCTCGCATTGTTCGCGCTTTGTACACTTTTACAGAAAAGAACTTCGCTTTCGTTCATCGGCAATCTTGCCGATATCATTCGTCCGATATCATACTCCGTAAATAAATAGACCGCAGAAATAAGCGCGTATCGTCACGCCGACCGATATAGTGTATTAGCGCATATTCCCTCGTGCGCGCGTATGCGTTATCGTGCAGCTGTTATCTACTGCTCCTCGCGCCCGCAAACGAGCGAGGGCGATGTCAATGAAGCTCGCTGTTCGACTCATCTCTTTGCGCGGATCCCTTTATCGTCGTTGCAAATGCAAGAAACTCTCTATGCGGATTCAATGATGGGCATGCCACCATATGTCATCGTATATGTACCATAATACACGAAAAAAAATTGCTGTTATACGACCGGCAAGAAAAATTGTTGAGTCTACCGGATTTTTTGAAAAAATTATTAACTAATTTCTTGCTGTTCTAGCAAATCTATTTTTTTTTTTCCGTGTACATCTCGCATCTTTTTCTTTGGATTTCGTCAAATGCGCGACGAAAAACTATGTCGGAAAACTGTGCAGATGTCTGGTTTTCTTCTCTCACCACGTCCGTATTACGAATATGTTCTGCTTGTCATTTAACAAGTTTAGATTTAAGTTAGATGATTTGCTGCTCCGTCTGAACTTATTAATTTCTCTAG